GTTATGACTTACTTGCACTACTTATTTTGTTAATTTATATAGTGTATTTTGAGCCCTATGTTGTATATATATAGATTGTGAGATCTATAATAGGGTCAAAATATTAGTGTAAGTAAGAGATATGTTTGACATGTGAATTATGTTGATTAATTGATGAAATATGATAATAGAATTCCCCCTTCTATTTTTGAGATTTAGGGGTTGAGTAACGAAAACATGATTTACAAGTATTGTTAATGATGTAATACATTGCACAGGTCCATTTTAGTTTATTGATTGTGGTCTGAGTGGTGTTTATGGCTTTTGGCTTTTGGTATAAGTTTTAGGCTCTCAAGTTTAATGTACATGGTAAAAAGGGAGAATTTTAAAATGAGTGTCTAACTTTTATATACGAAATAATTTAATTGTGAAACCAAAGCCATTAGCAAGAGTTAGGAAAAAGCTCTTTATAAATACTTAGATCACATCAGTCGGACATTGGATGGAGAAATAGAGTGTGTCAAAAGTTGCATTAGGTGTTGTCTAATGACAGCAGCATGCTGTTGTCAAATAGCGTGCAATACGCTGTAGTGCATTGCGCCTGAGCCGCAGTACATGCCTCCTATTTTACACTGATTCACTATTTTCTAATTTTAACAAGTGCATTGATTCTTTTCATGATTTCATACTTCTGTATATAAAATGAACTCTAATTTTTCATTGTAAAGTTCTTTTGGGATGTTTTAAATTTTAAAAACTTAGGATCCTATTTATATAACCCATTTGTGAAATTTGGTAAACTTGTCACTTGCCTTGAGATAATCTCTAAATTAATTGAGATTAGGAGTTAATCAGGGAATAGTAAGAGAGATTTTACATATCTTAGCATATTTTTCAACAATTTCATATCCTTTTTGATAAAGTTGTGCATACTTTTAGTACATATAACAGGAAAATGTGCATATCTCATACTTGGATTTAAATGACAAAATCTTGGTGTAAATCGTGCATAATTTTTTATCTTGAAAAAGATTAGCTTGAACCTCACAAAATTACTTACCTTCTTAGGTTGTTGGAACACTATTTAAGAAGCAAAGAAGGAGTTAGGAAGTCATTATATTAAGAAAAAGACAAGACAAAGAGTGAAAAATTAAACCTTAACCAAAGCACTTTTAGCCTTAGTCGAAAGCCAGAAATAGAACATCACTAATGCATTTTGGCCGTAGCCAAGAAATAATTGGTTGCAACTAAAGTTGTGGTGATAGGTTTTGGCAGCAACCAAAATGTGTTTACTGAATCTATTCGTTTTAGAATCAGACTTAAAGCTAAGGTTACATATGCAAAATTCTTGCACTAAAAAGGGGATGCTATAACTTTTGGAGGTTCTTGGAGACTTACTCTACTAGGGTTTTGGGTTTTTGAGGGAGATTTGACCAAGGATTGTAGATTTGTAGATATTCAAGTAGATTTCTTTTGGTTTTTCCGCTTCTTTTTCATTTTTTTCTCTTTGTTTCTGATATGAATGTTGTACATTTTGGTATTTGTTGCTCTTTTTGAACATTAATAGCTAGTTTTCTTGCTCTAGGATTTTTTCAAACCTTTGTATGGATTAAGACTTGAATATTCCTCTCTTTTGGTAACTAATGATATATATATATATATATATATATATATTTATTTATTTATTTTATTTTATGCTTAATGCTTCCAAGTACTTGATCACCTTTTAGATTGTTTTGTTTACTTGAATTGTGCTTGAGAAAGCTAATTTAGGTGTAAAACTTAGATAAAATAGTGTTGGACTTAAAATTTATGAAGATACATGGATAACTTATTAATAAAATAGAGATATTTTATTAACCCTTTATAGTCATATTAAGATTAGAACTTAAAATTTGTTTTTACTAATTATTTTCAAGAGATTGTGAAATTTTAGTATTTACAAATATATTTAATTTTGACATGAGAAAGCTTGTTCAAGTAAATTAAAATCCTATACTAGTACTTATTTTCATTAAAAATATGTTTGAGAGAAACTAATTTAAGTTTTATAAAATACAAAGGGGAGAGATAATCCTAAATTCTCACCTCTTAAAGTCAAGGTTTCAACAAATTTTAATTGCTTAAACACTTCTAATTCAATTTTCATTACTTTCACACAAACCTATTCTTGATTTTGCTTAATCTAACTCAAAACTTAATAGTGAATTTTAACCATCTTTTGTTTATATCATTGTGGGAACGATATCTCTAAAATATTTTATACTTGTGATGACCCATATGCTTACAGTAATGCTTGACGGCGAATAGGTATATGTAAGACCTATACCTCCCAATCAAAGTTCAGCATAGACCGGATCTACAAGAGTAGGAGACTGCCATTGTTATCCCATGTATTAGTGCTTAAATAATCAATAACAGCCTTAGCATTAGATTCGAGAACAACCTTCTTAAAATCCATAGCCCAAGCTAATTGCAGACCTTTTCAAATTGCCTATGTTTCAGCTTCATAGGCATTACAACTTCCAAGAAAATGCATAAATCTTGGAACCCAATTACCCACATGATCTCTTATATAACTCCACCACATCTAACTCTATTGTTAGTGCTTGACATAGCACCATCAACATTAACCTTAATGTAGTCAATAGAAGGATGTTTTCAAATGCCTACATCATTACAACATGAGAATTCCCTATCGACAATCAATTCAGCATGTATAGAAAAGGATTTTCAAATACTATTAATTACCACAACAGGTTCACTGAGCTTAATAAAGTTAGAATTGAAGATGAAATTATTCCTCCAAATCCAAAGCTTACATATTACTACCCCCATACCAGATTCCAATTCTCATGCAAATTCAAACTAAAATTTTCCTTTAAGATTAATTGCAAACAAATATTTTAAGGAAATAGAGTAAAACTGGTTGTAATGCTTGGAACTCAAAAATCCATTCCATAATTGCTTAGCATGACTGCATTCTCTTAAAATATGTAAAACATCCCCAGCGACGGTGTTGCACTATTTACACATAGGAGATTGTGTTGTAGTTATTTTTTGTATGTGTGTCAAAAGAAGAAGTTTCACATTACTTACATGAAAAGAGCTACTAATGTATAAATACTAAGGAGTAAAATTGGCTAGTAAAATAGGCATAGAGGAAAAGTGGGCTCGCGTGCATGAAACAGGCTAACTGAGGGTAATCACAATTGAAAACAGCTAATTCACCCCTTGCGTGCGAGTTTAATAGGCATTAGGTTTCTTTTATTCAATTATTTTTGTGAAAAATAACTAATTATTTATTTAAATTAGCTTACTAAAAAACCTTGTTTTTTAATTGATTGAAGTTTGAATTTGAACCTTAACTGTTTTATGGGCTTTAAACAAATTCTTAAATGGATTTTATTATTTCTATTGCACATTTGTCCCCTAATGGCTCTGGACAATTGTTTAATGGTGATTTATGTGTGTGTAATTGAGGTTTAATTGTGGTTTATATTAAATCCCAACGTTCATGTCCAGGATCTCGGCCTATGTATAGGCATGCATGTGGACTGAACCTTTTGCTTGGCTCTTAAGTTTTCGAGCCTATTCTTTCTTCCTCCATTGCCTTCTATTTTGTGTCAGTTTGCTTGAGTTATCTTGTTAGTGTTTGCTATTCTATTGCTTTGCTTGTTTGCAGGATGAGCTCGTTTTAACCCTAGGGAATTACTGGTCTACCATACCAGTGTGTTAGAGTAATTTTTAAGGACAATGTCCTTTGGCACGACTTAAGTTTCATTTTCCTACTTGATACCAACAATCTTAAGAACTAATATGGCATCCAATGCTGAGAATGTCATCCCCGAGGATGTGCCTGGTGGAGATAAATTCATCCTTGTGCTGTTGGTATTCCCTATCGAGGCTATTCCTAAATATCTCAAAGATAGAAGTCTCTGACAGTAAGAATTTCAAACATTGGCGAGAACGAGTCTTCACCCTCTTTGATCAGCATGGTGTAGCCATCTTTTGCTAATGCTGACCAAGCCTACAGAGTTGTATGCACTTATGCAAACAAGTTATGCCAACATACTATCATTAGCGCTTTATCTAATGATTTGTTTAATATCTGCTGCGTCTACAAGAAAGCTTGTAGGATATGAGAGTCTCTAGTGACAAAGTACACTGCTAAAGATGCTAGAAAACAAAACTAATTGTAGGAAACTATTATAGATGAGAGATGATCAAGAAAAAAGATATGAAAGAGTAGATAAATGAATATCACAAGCTGTTAGAGAAGCTTGGTGCCAACTCATGACAATTGCCATAGTAGATGAGCAATTAGCCTTCCATGTTGTTAGCTTGGATTTTTCACGATCCACAATGTACTGAAATTTCACTATAGTTTTCCTTGTGTTAGACAATAAATATGGGCTTTCTCATGGGCTTGAAAACAAAGCCCCCAAAACCAATAAAATGAAGATGAAGAGGAGCTGTTTTGTAACTGTTACTCATATACATGGCTGCTCTGCTCCCCCCCACCCTCAAACCCTTGCCTTTTGCGCCGCTGCAACTTCGCGGCGGTGAAATTGTGAAACGGACACATGATCTCTTTTTTTGCATCCATCGCTTTTCTTTTCACCTCTATAATTTTTATTTCCTAGTCGCTTCCATCTCTTTTGTTTAGTCTTTCCTATTATTCCAGTTACATCTCTATCTTGATGATGCCCAATGGTGCACAAATTAAACTCTGTTGAGCAGTTTTCAGCGGTTTCAGTTCTCTATTTGCCTTCACTTACCACTGCTTCTCTCTCTCACTACATGCACACACATACATGTTTTGTGATGGTCTGTGAAGGCTTTCGAAGAACGTCGTTGGCCTTCAAACTGTGAATGATCGATTAAAAGCTATGAGATCTGAGGCCATTTTTTGAGATCTATGCTCTTGTGTGGATTTTTGAGTTCTATTTGATATTTGCATTTTTATTCATTGTTTTGAGGCTTGTTTTCTGATTCTTTTGGATGTCAGAATTGGAGCAGAAGATGATGCATCATGCATGCACTGGGCTCTGAGCAGTTTTTTCTGTATTATCGATTATTGATGGAAACGCAATATAGAAAGCTATTTCTGACCTCCCTTGACAATTCCTGATATACATTACAATATACATATATATTCCCTTTACTTGATATATGATGATTGATGGGGTCAAGCTGTTTCAAGCATGTGCTCGGTACTGTTACTTCAACACCATTCATTTGGTAAGAAAAAGGCCGCTCCTCTGTATGACTGATTGATCAACCCGAGACCCTCAGGGTTTGTGTAAACTAAAAGGGTGAAAGAAGTCGGGTAATTATAAATAATCATCTTCGCAATAGAATTTATTAAGGAAAAATTACATATAAGCCCTTCGTTATCGTCCGTCCACCGTTGGTGACTGTGATAATGCCATTAATTCTTCCTCTTCTCTGAACATGTAGTAGTGTCAACTTTCCCCTGTTCCGAATTACATCTCCTCTTCCTTCCTTCTTCAGGCTGTCTCCAACGTTAATGATCTAAGGTGAGAAATTTCTTTTCTCCCTTACGCCGATTTCTGGTATGCACCGATTTGTGATTTCTTGTATGCACCGATTTTGTGATTTCTTGTATCTCATAAACAGGGTCTAATTTTCTTCAATATATATATATATATATATATATATAATAATAGTTAAAAAGACAATAATATCCCTATTAAATATATATACATTACATCAATTAAATAATTTACAACTACTTTATTTATTAATAATTTATAACTATAACTTCAATTTTTTATAATTATAACATTACAAATTTAATAGTTAATTTTTCAACTATTGAAAATGTAAAGTTACAGTTGTAAAAAATTAAAGTTATAATTACAAATTACTGATAAAATAGTTGTAAACAATTAATATTAAATTTTGTTAGTAACACATGGTTGCTTAACTATTGAATATATGAAATTATAATTGTAAAAAGTGAAATTATAATTGTAAATTGCTGATAAAATAATTATAAATTAATTATTTAATTGATGTAATATATGTTTAATAGAAGTATTATTATTTTTGCAGCTTAATTTTAGTTTTTGAATTTTATGAGACTTATTTGTAAATAAACCTGCTCTATGAGACCTATACATAATTTTTTTTATTTATTAACTAGTATGCATTAGCATGCTTGAAAAAAAAAAACAAAATATTCAAACTATACCTAAGCATGCTAAGTAGTTTAAAAGATATACTTTCAGTTCAAGATAAATGGTGGACTGTGGCTCACGTGCCCTTCCCACCATTTGTTTTGATTATATATTTTATATTATTTAGTTTATCTTTTTTACCTTTTTTTCAACTTCTATAAAATATTTATTTATATGCATAGTATAATTTTTTAAGGCTTTACTATTTATTTTGTTTAAATAGAATTTTCTAATAATAAAATAATTATAACTACTTGTAATAACTTGAAACACTTCTAAATTTTTTTATTTAATTCTACCTTACCTTATAAATTTTCTACTTTTCTAGGTTATGGCTCGGAATTAAATTCTCAAGAGTTATCCTCTTTTGGGCAAATTCTCCAAGATCTAAAGCAAATCAGAGTTCCATGTAAATATCGATCAAAAAAGGTAATGAAGTCAGAGTATCCTTTCATTAATTTCAACGATCAGAACCAAATATACATTGCTACTTGTGCTCTGCCACAAAACCATACAGCTTCTGCAATCAGACAATACAAAGACCATAATAGTGCCAAATTGCAAATAAAAGAGGTCATCAGATTCTTAAATGAAACCTAATTGCTTCCTTAAATTTCAGTGACAAAACAATGTCCCTTGCTTACCTTGCATACATGGTTCCATCTCTTCAGTTGCAAGAATTTTCTTCCATTTTCTGCAAGAATTTTTTTATTGCTAACATAACCATAGAAACTACAGTCATTATCCCACTTATCTTAACCTTGGCAATTCCACTGTCAAAATTTTCTGGGAAATATATATACAATACAACACTTTTGGAGGACGAGATATTTAACATCCATATGCATAACCTCACATAATATGTATACTTACTGGGAACAAACACATAGAAGGTGACAACTCACAGGAAAAACCATAGCAAGGGATGAACTCACGAATATGAAAAGTGAACAAAGAACCTAAAAATAAATGGAAGAGGGAAAATGGAGAGAATAGCAACATGATAGTGAACTAACCTATGAGAATCATGCGAAATGCTCCATGGGAAGGTCCCTTGAACAGGTGGGTCCCTGGGGTCAACAAGAAGAGCAAGGGGAGGAATTTAAGATTAGAATCACAAAATCCCTTGAGCGTGTTTTGCCTGTTTCTCTTTATCATTAGGGTACCTATCATCGATAAAGAATACCTTGAATTGATAAGAAAAGGGGAGATTGGGAGGGATTTAGGGGTAGGGTTGAGAGCAGAATTTGGAGAAAGAGGGAAGCAAGGAAGAATACGGTGCACTCAAAATGCAACGGCCATGCTCAAAAGAGGAGGAGTCATGTGCGAGGTCACGAGCAACGGTGAAAGGAGAGGAGCTACGAGGTCCAAGTTCTGAGGGAAAAGTCATTGATTTTGATGGGCACATTCTGAATGTCAATTTTTATTCTCTTAAATGACCCAAGTCTTTAAACAAATTTTAGGTACCTCCCCACAATTAAATTTGTGGTGAGGGATTTTTAAGCAATTGTTCCTTTTTTATTGCACTTGTTTTTATTAGTTGAGAGTTGACAAGTCAATAACAAAAATTAAGTTTAGTAAAAGAGATTAATTTTCTATAATATGACAAATTAAAATTTGAACTTATGTTGAAAAGGTATTATTTAGTAACCAATCATATTTTAAATAAGAATACCTTCAATTATAAAAGCATACATATGCATAATACAATTATGACAAGAAATACAGCCAGCATGTTGTCATATGTGGCGAACAGAAAGAACAAAAATTGACACTTGCGAACCTCTTAATCGGTTCGACTTAGTCCAATCCACTTTTATAAGGTTTATCTAAATTTATATGAGAAAATTAGATGATATATATTTGAAACGAATAGGAAAATCAATTTTATTTATTAAACAATCATCAATAAAAACCAAGAACCGGAACTCCTTTTTGGCATTCTACAAGCTGAACGCAAGTAAGCCCAAACTGAAAAAAATGATATATACATATATATATATATATATATATATATATATTACATGTAAAAATGAAAATTATGATTAAGAAGTGTGAGGTTCATAGTGCAGCACAGGCACACAGGTTCATACTTGTTGCTAAAGAATGCAATCATGCCTGAGAAGGAAAAGAGGTCCTAAAGCTTGGATTGGGGTGAAATCTATATCTTGCACCGCAAGTTCGTGTGCTTGTTCATTAGATTTTTCTTAATCTTACCAAATAATATTATTTTTGGCACCTCCAGAATAGGATAATATGGTCCCCAACAAAAAAAAAAAGTAAGATAATGACATAAAAACTATTTTATTAATTCAGCATAAAGTGGTATAGATTCGGTGATTCATTGAATATTTTGTTTAGGTTTTTCACACATTACAAGCGTCAAGTGTCACATCAAAAATAAAAATAAAAAAACCTTCTATGAAGCGGTCCACGACTTCAATAAGAGGTTCTGGGAGATAATATTTAAAAAACCAGAAAAAAAATTTGAAGTTGTAATACCTCGTCAACCTGGGCTTTTATCCTCTTTCCGCAAGGGTATTTTCGTCAATCGGACTGATGGGCATCTGACGTCACTCGCCACTCGTTCTAGAGGCCCTGGAATTGTATGAAACAGACCGAGTCCCTCCGTGGTTCTGTCTGTCTCTTACGCGCCAACGAAGACTCGGTACATCCTTCCATGTCAGCTTTTCTGACCCCACAAACAATAGAAATACTTAGTCCTGCCCAGTCAAACATCCCGGCATGGCACATCACGTGCTGTAAGGGCTCAAGGTGGAATAAATGTTTTCATTTTACTCTAATCTTTTAAGTCTCGGGCATTGTTTTAAAATTACACTTTCTCCAGGATGATTTTTACCCAATCAAAAACTCTGACATGCATGGGATGCACCACGTCATCTACGTAACAAATGATATAATACGTTCGATTATAGTAGTAGAATGATCTATGCAATGATTATTTACTCATGTAATGATATTCCGTGGTTAGAACTTAGAAGTAAAAGAATATCAATCCTGATTAGAAGTAAAAGAATTACTGTGACTTTTGATATGTAAAACGAAAAGTACTTTCACAGTAGTTACAAAACTTGAATGTGGCCGTACATGTTAATGCGGAACCTATGTCCTTGCCGGCGTGTTGGAATCGCGTAAGGTGCGCGGTTAAGTTTAGGAGGACAAGAGCCTCGATTGTTTAGTAGTAATTGCAAAGGTTAAATTGTTAATTAATTCTAATTACGGAAATGCGCCTTTCCCATTTCACGTTCATTGTGGTTTTACTCTTTTAGCCCTCCCGCTTTCCCAGCTACCTCTATTACGCGGTCCATTTGCGCCCCTTATAAGCCCTCTCCTTCCTCCTAGGGTTCCCATCTCTCACTTCACACCCATTCCTTCAGTTGTATCCCAACCCGACTTCAATCCTCACTCGACTCCTCAATTTTTCCTTGTCTCCGATTTCATTCAACTTCATCATCACTCTCTGGGTTTAGTGGGGACAATTCTGCGGTTGATTCTTGAATTTCATTTTCTGGGTTTTCAAATCTGGGGAAAATTTCGGCTTTCTGGGGATTCGGCTTTGAAATTCAGCTCCTAAAGTTGTGATTGGTCTTGAAGCAACTGAGGATATATGTGAGAATGCCCGCAACGGACTGTCAAAACTCGTCTTCTACGTTGTCGTTCACTCATATTGGACGTTCGCTTCTGAGTCTCCGGCGTGATCATCAGGTTCACTCCATGGAAGTGTCTACGACGCCGACCTACCAAAACGGCGGCTTGGACCACGATCTCGAGTCGTTTCAGGGACTGGTTAGCGAGCTATTTAACGGCCTCGCTTCTGCAAGCCAGGACGATTTGCTTTCCCTATCGTGGGTCTTGAAGCTTCTTGATTCCTTCCTTTGTTGCCACGAAAACTTCAGAATGGTTCTGCAAAGCCACGGAGGTCAGGTGTTCAAATCGCCGGTGGATCGGATGGTGTCCGATTACTTCGAACGGAGCGTGAAGGCTTTGGATGTGTGTAATGCAATTCGCGATGGAATTGAGCAGATTCGTCAGTGGCAGAGGCTTCTTGAGATCGTGGTTTGTGCACTGGACCGTGAAAGAACCGTCGGAGAAGCTCAATTTCGCCGTGCCAAGAAAGCGCTCATTGATTTAGCAATTGGAATGCTTGACGATAAGGATTCTAATTCCAGTACCGGCTCGTCTCTTGCACATCGAAACCGATCCTTTGGTCGAAGCAGAGACAATCATCATTTTCATTCTCATAATCATCATTTTCGATCACTTTCATGGAGCGTTTCTCGTACTTGGTCGGCTGCGAGGCAGCTTCAAGCAATTGGGAACAACCTTAGCCCTCCCAAAGCGAATGATCTCGTTGCCTCCTATGGCCTGGCACAGCCTGTATACACCATGAATGCCGTTCTGCTCTTTGTGATGTGGGCTCTCGTGGCTGCAATTCCGTGTCAGGATCGTGGGCTTCAAGTTCATTTCAGCGTTCCACGGCATTTCTCATGGGCAGCACCTATGTTGTTCCTTCATGAGAGGATCCTGGAGGGGTCGAAGAAGAGGGAGAGGAAAAATGCTTGTGGGTTACTGAAGGAGATTCATCAGATTGAGAAATGTGCGAGAGTCATGAATGAACTGTCTGATTCTGTCCAATTTCCATTAACGCAGAAGAAAGAAGAAGAGATTAGGCAGAGAGTGAAGGAGGTTTCAGAGGTCTGTGAAGCTCTTAAAAATGGATTAGACCCATTGGAGCGACAAGTGAGAGAAGTGTTTCATAGAATTGTGCGAAGCAGGACTGAGGGACTTGACTCTCTCGGCAGACCAAATTTTGCTGAATAATCTGCGAATGAAGAAGCAGGTGATGTAGAGAAGTTTAGGGCATGTGAAGAAGATAGTCCTCTGTGATTTATATGCTTTTTTTCTCTCTGATGTTGCCATTGTATAACATAATTTCTGGGCAAATTGATAATGCATCGCTCATTGCAGCTGATTTTGTTGGTGAATTTTTGGTGCGCGCGCGCGCACACACGCACTCATCATTGTGTTGGAAGAGCTGATTTTTGTTTTAAAATCACGTATCTTCCACTTCCACTGAGATTCTGTGTTTGCTGCCATATAATCTTATATTTGTTGTAAATTGATTTAGCTAAACTTGTTCTTTATCTTTTTAACTTTTACTTTTGGCATAATTTTCTCCTCCTTTCCTACTAATCTCTATCATATGCAAACTTTATCAAGAAGAGCAGGAGGTTATGAATGATATGACTCGGTTATCAGAATTTGTGTAACTCAGTTGACTCACGCTAGTTGCTATATGATGATGATTCAGTTAATTTATTTTATCTTTTCAACTCTTAAAAGTAATTGTAGAATTTAAAGACTTTGTTTTCTGGTGTATTATCTAAAAGATGAGGAACGACTAACAAACTTGATCACTTAGGTAAATAATAAAATGTTTTATATTTTATATTGATAATCTTAATTTATAATCCTAAACTGTAAAATATGCATAACAAGGTTTCTGATTTTGAGCCGTATAAGCAAAGGAGAAAAGATTTGGTTGATTAAAGCTCAAGATTATTAGTTAGCGAATCTTTTGGGAGTTTGTGGTCAAGTCATGAGAGTGGTCTGACTTTGACTCGGTACGATACATTATACATTGCCATCCATAGTTGAACATTTTTCAACTCGTGATAATGCAGTTGGATACTGGTCAAGGATAATTTTCCTGATCACATGTCAATGTCTTCTGTATAATCCTTTTCTTTATCTTTTTTTTCTTAAATAACATTATCGGAATCTCACTTTTTAGTTAACTTTAACATTTATGGCTTTTGACTGCTTTTCCCATTTTAATACTCACGTAATAGCTTGCACTTGCAGGCTCTGTTATCATCATCATCGTTGAGTTCTTCAAAATTACTTCTCCAAATTTTTCTTTACCTATTAGTTTTATTTTTTGGGTCAAATTATTTACCTATTAGTTTAATCTGATAAATAAAACTGATTTTTTTTTAAAGTGAGTTACATTTTGATTGAAAGAAATAATCTAATTTTAAAAGATATGGCCGGGTCAACTGAAATCTCTCATACTTTTGGCCAAAAAAAAAAAATCTCTCATACTCGAGTATTTCCATGATACAATGAATTTCTGAAATTATAGCACTCGTACTGAAATGTCACTGTCTTCGAATTTCTGAAATTTGTGGCATTAAGCAACTTTGAACTTATGGACTGACCTGAGAAATCAGAAATACTCCCCCCGCCCTCTCAATATATAAAATATTTTTAAAAATTTTGTTTTGTTTCTAAATATAAAATGTGGTATGATAATTTTAAGTAATTAAATAATTTTTTGCCTTTATCTTAAAATTGTACATTCGTTGCAAATATTTCTGCAAATCCTTTCAATTAAGTGAACAATATTTTATTTAAAGAACTCCTGTCTATTTCTTTTATTAATGAGATTGAAATCACTAAGAAATTCTTTGTGAATTGCACCATATGATTTATCCTATCACCATAATATTAATTATGATATTATTAGAAGTAAAATTTAAAAATTATTACTATGTAAAGTTCAACTTATACAATGTTTAGATATATATGAATTTGAATTTGGATTTGAATTTGAATTTGAGCCAAATTTATTGTTTAAATAATTAAAAATATATGGATTTGGTCAAATCTAAATTCTACCTCAATTGTCCCTCCATTTCTATATATAAAAGAAAAAACTATATCACACAATTTAAAAACATTGGTTAATTATAATAATTATTGAAAATAAAATAATTGGACTAAAATACCCTGTATTAATTAACATAAGTATACATTAATTATTTTTTATTAATGTAAATTATGAGAGGTGATTTAAAAAATGTATAATAAATGCTTATTAAAATAAGTGATTTTACTCATAAAAAAATATAAGTAAAAAATGATAGTTTCTCTAACAATAAAAAATTAGAGGGAGTATTAATTTTTAATTAATGTATCATCAGACTTTGGAAGAACGGAAGAGGAGGTGGTATACTAATTACAAAACCTTAATTTCCAAACTCAGTTGTCCTACCACTAAGCTGTCATGTTAATGAATAATCATTGAGTTTCAATGAGACGAGAACTTGAAATACTTATTATTATTATTATTATTTTTTAGGAATGCAAGAAGAATCAAAATTAAACGTGATTTTATAGCCACACATTTACCTGGAAATAAATGTCTTCCCCTTATCATCTGAATGCATCATTCAATGCCATGTCATTTGCTTACTAACAATTCAATCACCATGGGTTTTTCAAAACAGCTTCTTCTCTTCGACAATTATTTCTAAAGTTCAATGCTTTAAAATCGATATGATAGTTTGAAAACTATCCGCGCATCCAAGCACCTGTTTCAAATTTCAGGAGAAAATAATTTCAAAATATTATCAAACTATTCAAGGTATAATTAAGATTTAAGTATATTTCTATCTATGAAGGTTTTGATTTTAACATTTGTTTTTTACTCTAGAAAACAACATATAACACACGTATTCACATTATTATTATATGATCTCTGAATGATGGATTTTATTCTCCTTCAAAGTTTATTTCTCAGCACATTCAAACTCATGCATTATATATATATATATATATATATATATATAGGGAGGGTCCTCCTGACCTAAAACTCGCTGACAAAGTCGTGAAACCATTAATGCAGACCAAGCATGTTGCCAACTTTCCAATTAAAAGATTTATATTTATGTGCGTTCCTATATCTCTAATTGTTAGCAAGTCCTAGTCTTAAGATTTGATTCACCCCTAAATACAAGTCTCCGTATAAATCTTTTTCTTTTTTCTTTTTTCATAAAATACCATATGAGATATTTATTACATCTTTTTTCATAGAACTCTTATTTAGTATTGGATTATTTTTTGTAAATCGCATCATATGGGTTTAAATGAGGGTAAAATTAGAAACTTCTTTAATTTTCAAAAGAGTTGATGAGTTTAAACTTTTCATTGGTTCTGATGATGATGCTCATTGCCTTATTAAAAGGAGAGGAGGGGATGGAGTATATATATATACACACCAACTTTACTAGGACTGTAGTCTTTATATTTCGAAATTACAAGTTCAGATATAAGTGTCTATTCTGGTTATATTTTCAGATCAACCAAATTAACAATAACAGAAAACATTAATCCCAAATCAATATTAAAATCCTTAGAAAACTATTGGCAACTAGTAGGTAAATTTTAAGTCTGGGTTATACCAATGACACTATTATTAAAAGCTATTTTGCTACATTGTATCGATCACATGGCAGCTCTTTATAATTAAATATACTCGTCTTACAAAATTAATAGGTGCGTAAAACAACAGAGACTAACAAAATAACACAATACAAAAGAGGAGCTCAAAAACCCAAGAGCTGAGCCTCAAATACACTGTGAGCTATATATAGGCAAAGATTAAATGAAGCCTTAAAGTACAAGTTAATTGTGAGTTTCACAAAAGTAATAACACATTATTGTAATGAAGACAATTAATTCTGGCGTTTTGAACGTTTGCCATTTGAAGACAATTGCAAATTCGGTTTCAAGCTTTAATTGACAATAATGTCTAGTTAAAGCAAATTAATAAATCTGAGGATAATGAATTTACACTCGAAAACTGAAGGTTGGGGAAAGGACATTTACAAAATTAATTGAGACTTTTGGAGATATAACCCATATTATAGGACCAAACCAAATAAACAGCAAAATATTTATTATATTGTATATTATGGTCAGTTTATTATATTTGTTAATCATATACTATTATATATCAATGATAAATCCCTTATAACTTTTCAAATTTTCAATAATAAACCCTTTATATATTAATGATAAAATCCTTGTATATCATTGTGAACTGGCCATATAATGAGGATGGTCGCTCATCTCTCAAAATAATTCTAAGTTAACCTTAATGTAGCAAAAGGCCAACCTAGATCATCTCTGATGAAGTGTCCACTAGTTCAATCATGGAAGTTGTTTGAGTAAAATGGGTTTCAAATGTTTAAAGTTCAAATTGACCACTAAAACTAATGAAATAAGGAAAACAAGTTAGGGGTAGAATTAAATTGTTTGACAATCAAGTGTGAATGGATTGGTTCTTAAAGCTTGAATTAGGGAGAATTCCTTATTACTTAAGTTATTAACCAAGAATTATGCCCTTACTAGTCCAAAGTGCAACTAAATTCAATTAAACCTAATTGGCTTTAGCTAATGACCCAAGCTTAGTCCTAAATTAAGTAATCAAAGTGATGACCATCACCTAAATGAAGACTCCTAGTGTGTTTTTGTCTCACCAAGGCACGACTCTCTCTCTCTCTCTCTCTCTCTCTCTCTCTTTCTCTCTCAAGGCACTCAAACACTATGAGATTATGTAACACAAGAGCAAGGCTAAAGTTTAATCCACAAGATTATGTAAGACTAATTCTAAGCAAATTCACATTAATAAACCATAAAATTATGCAATTAATCAACATGGCAGCATTGAGAAGAGAGTCAAAATTCTAGGAAAAGTTCAAACAAATCATCTTCCATTACAACATAATATACTCAAATTAGAGTTCAAGCTAACCACAATATAACCTAAATTTAGAATTACAAAGTGAAATAAAATGGATAAGTTAGGTCAAATTAATCCTTAGCTAAAGACATAAGTATAGAACCATGGCTCCTCCTCCTTCATTCTCTCTGTAGCAACCAAGAATTTCTTAACCTTCAAGAACCATGGAAATCACCTTTAAGTTCTTGAGTTGACCAAAATACTTCATGACTTCAAATAGATGTTGAGGCTTTAGATGGAAGATCAAATGATAGGAGTGTGTAGAGGATGATAAGAGGAGAAGAATGGTGGTGGTTTTGTAAAAATCTAATGGTCAGATGTGGAGATGGAGTGGGAGAATTTTAGAGAGAAGGAGGAGAAATGAAGAACCCTAAGGACTAGAGAGAAAAAGAATAAAAGATGAAATGAAAATGATAAATGAATTGAGTGTTGAATTTGATTTTTTAGTGTATGAGATGTGCATAATTAGTTTGATCAGATTGCCTCTCAAAATTAATTCTAAAATAAAATCAAAAAGGTTAGAGAATTTCACACTTTGTGCACATGCCCTTAGGTGGTGCATTCTCATTAGTTGAGTAATAATTCTTATATTAACATGAATAATCCCATGCTTTGCACTTCAAAAATTTGATCTACTGCATCCTTTCAACCATTTGCATGCCACTTTATGTTCATAATGCTCTCTTGCACTTCTTTGACTAATTGATACAAGTTCAAATACACATAAATTACCTATATCACACAATGAACAAATTTAATCAAATAAATACAAGTAACATAATAATTCATATTTTGACATATAAGATTAATTGTTTAGATGGGAGAGAAATAATAAAATGTATTTCAAGGGTTGCCCCACATGAAAACACACATGTGCACACACATGCAAAATACCTTAATTAAGTCAACAATCCTAATTTTTGATTTGTAATTGATATCTCCCAAATTAAATTGAATTTTAAAAATTTAATTTCATATTCATTCTCCTGAATATCAAACATATTTGGACTAATTTTTTTGTACATTTTTTCAAAAATTTAATTTTTAGACCAAAATATCCCCAGTGTACAATTTTAACCTTTACACGATTTTCTTACTTCTAAGACCCTAAACGTGCCAAAATGAAGCTAGATAAAGTGTGTAAATAATGTGTCTTATTACCATGCTCTCAAATTTTTAAAAATTTGATCCATATTTCTTGAGTACAAGATTTTTTTCGACCAATGAACTAATTTATCCAAATTAATTTAACAACTTTTGCAAAATAAATCCAGTTTAAAAAAAAAAACTCAAGTGTCTTTTTGACTCACAAACACATGTCTCCTCTAAGCTCATGTATTAGTCTTTTTTTATTTCTAAGCATATACAAACTAAGAGCTATGGGTAATATGAGACTTTTTTTTTTTTAACACACTTACACAATAACTACAACTGTTTTCACCAATTTAATATCAACTATTTACTTGCATCTCAGTTGTTTTCACCAATTTCCAAACTTCACAGATATTAAGAACGTCCTTTAACCGGTTACTCTATTATTTTGGTTAAAGAGATGAAGCTAACACAATTCACAAATAATGGAAGATGCATCAGAGCATTCCAACAAAGCCGGAATTAAAGCACGCGCAATATAATGCCAAATCTAGGTTGTGTTCTCTATTGAGGTCTATCCATATACGCAATATGCAGAGACTAACAATGCCCTGTTCCGTGCTTTTCAATACAAAAATGAACTTATTGCAATATGCAGACTTACTAAATCAGCACTTTATAAGTGGAAAAAATAAAAGAATTTATCTTCATTAGTTCTAATCGTCTGTTCTATTCATTTCCATTGTTTTCATCTTTATCTGCTGAGACTAGTTAATCTGAGCCTGTACGTTTGTCAACAGAACAGGACCTCCTCATTGACAATGTATGGGAAAGCTATTGCACTTTCAAAGATCAGAACTCGCCAAAAAAAAAAAAAAAAAAGACTCAGTAGGAGCCTTGGCTCATTTGATTGATTACCTTCTCCTTCACTGATTTATTACAATTCCGAACTTTGATAACTTTCGCTTACTTACGTTCTTTCCACCTCTCTACATGAATCAGTTACCTACAAAAAGATAAAAAGATAAGCTACGCTAATTTTAATATCAAAATTCAAGCACAAATTAACAATAGATAAAAATTAACAATTCAAGCACATGAATTGTGAAATAACCAAGTTTGAACTTACGGAAAGTGTCACAGCACTCACAACCATAACAGTGGAACTAGTACTCTAAAAACATCTCCAAGCATTATAAGAGAAGTGACCCACATTGCACTCTTTAAAAGCAACATGCACGAGTGCAAAATTTGATATAAACTTCAGTTGTTGATTATTAGTATTGGATAAACAAAATATCTCTAAGTAATATACACTACCTTTTTCCACTTCTTTTATGGCCGAAGAAGAAAATTATGAGAGATACAATGAAGACTGATCCTGCAACAACCAGAGGAGCACGCAGTTCCACTCTCTTTCCACTTGCTTCCACTTCAATATCTTCTAGATCCTCTGACTCTCGAGAGATTTCCAGCTGCACCACATTCTCTCCTTCGCCAGCTTTTTCTTCTTCAATTGCATGTCCTTCATGGTCTTCTTCTTGCTGTGAAGAATGCGTTTTCTCAACTTCTTGGTCTGGTCTCCTTCTAGTTGATTCTTGAAATTCCAATTCTAGATGTCCGCCATCATGACATCATCTATTCTGCCTTCTTTTGCAACTACTAGTTTTTCAGCTAGTGGATTGTCCAGTTCATTCGCTACATCTTCTGATGCTCTGGTGCCTTCTACGGAAGAAGTAGACTCTTTACCCTCTTGGAGTTGTGGAAAATTCTCAATTGTTGGAGCATCTTCTTTAACACCTGATCTTGATGTTTTAGATGGCCCTTTGCTCAATTTTTTTATAGATGGAGATGGCAATTCTTTTCTTTGTAACTCATCAACCTCATCATTTGTTTGATCGCTGCTGAACTCTATGCTTGATTGTTTTGGCTGTGCAGCAGTAGGTTTTGGAGATTCTACTTCTCTGTTAGATATGACTGCTTCTAATTCTTCATCAGCATGAAAGGGAATTTTTCTTCTTTTTTCCTGCTCTACTCCTCTTACCTCCGAAATTTTCTCTTTGCCTTGAATTTCTGCAGTTTGAGGTAACAATATCTCTTGTGATTTGTCTGTCTCTTTGTCTGCTACAGCTTCCTTCATTTCTTCAGCAACCCCTTTCATTTGATTAATCTTTTCACTTCCTTTTCTCTTTATTTTAGGCTTCTTATCTTTGAATTCTGCAATCTTTTTTCTTTCCCTTTTGCAAGACGATGTTTCGTCTTCATCTTTTTGACTCAGCTTCTCCTCTTCTGCAACCTTATTGGTTTCTAATCTTTTCTCTTTTTGGAGCAAATAATGACCTCTATCCTCAGTTAGAGTTTTGAAGTATTCTTTTTCTCCCAAGTTGTGGTCTGGAAGAACATTTGGTTGCGAAGCTTCTATTTCCTTTTCTTCTGAAGGTGTCCTGCTCGTAATAGACTTTGGAATATCTATTTCAGGTTTTTGCTTGTCAACCATAGATTCCCGAGTTGTTGATGAATTTTTCACTTCAGGTGGTTTGCCTAATTCATATTCTTCTTCTTCTTCTCTTGCTTTTGGCACAATCTTCTTGGTCTTTGGAGATTTCCACTTCATAATCGTTTTTTCTGTTTCAAGAGGCTCTAAGCTTTGCATTTTTACTTTTAGGGGTGGTAACTCCTTCAACCTTGGCTCTTCAACTTCATTCTTCGTCTCAACCTTTTTTCTTAGTTCTGGATATGCAACTTTTGTTTCAAGAGGTTTTACTTTCTGAACTTCTGATTTTCTGGGATGCTCTTTCTCAGGTACCTTTTGCATTGATTCTAAAACCTGTTAACTGCATTCTCTCTTGTAGCCTTGTCGTCTTTAACATTTTGAGTTTTTCTGTGTTTCTCTCTTTCAAGACTTGCCTCTGACCTCTTGCACTCTTCACATATTTTGTCTATTTCTTTAACTTCCGATGTTGACAGCATACTTTCTATTTCACGCATCCCTTTCCCCAATTCTTTTGGATCTTCTGCCCCAGGTACTTCTTGCAAAGCTGTTTCAAATTGTTTGATCTTACCAATCCTTTCAATCTCTGCTTCTCGAATCTTTTCTTCTACTGCAGACTCCTTATCTGCCACAACTTGAGTTTCCTCACTCTTTCTTTTGGCTTCTTTCATTTCTTCTGTCTTTGTCTCTTTTGGTCCTTCACCCTCATCCAGTGATTCTGCTATTTTCATAGGCAGCTCTTGTACATGATGTTGAGCCTTTTGTTTAGTTCCAACCATGGGATCTTCAGTTTCCTTCTCAATTCTCTCCCTTGTATTATCTTTCATGGAAGGACTAAAGACTTCACCTTGTACATTGTCATTACTCTCTCCTTTCACTTTCTCCGCTGAAGGTTCAGTTTCTACACAGCCTTCTTTAAGGGCTTTAGTTTTGTCCCACCTTGCAGCCCCTAAAGTCTCCTCATCAAATCCTCTGTCATCACCAGGCAGTCCATTTTCCAATTGAATTTTGTCCCTAGTTGTGGCTTTCTCAAAACCCTCTTTTGCTTCATCATATTTGCTTACAATCATTTCTTCTTTCACTCTCACATATCTTTCTCTTTTTACAATGATATCTTCTTTCACTTTCACTTCTTTCTCTCTTCGGGCCTTCGTTTCTGTAATCTGTCCAGGAAACTTTGCCGTATCAGTCCCCAACTCTTCGAACATGTCTCTGACAATATTCTCTCGCACTTGTGGTCCATCTCCAGAGGATCTATTGGCAGACTCTTCAATTTCCTTTTTTCCAGAGTTCCTTGCATTGTCATTCCCAATAACCTTGCTGGCAATCTCAGAAATCTTCAATGGTTCTTCTCCTTCAACTTTCTCCAAAAATCCCTCAGCTTCTTCGCTCCCTCTTTTGGCCATGGCTTGTTTGGCCTCTTCAATTCCTTCCAGATTTGATCCCTGTGAAGTTGCACATTTTGGTATCTTGCTATTTTCTTCGACATCTAGAAACTTAGGTCCCTCAATTTCTTTCTGTTTTGCCCCTTCACTTTTGTCTTCACCGCTTTCTATCCCCTCAAAAGTACCTTCACTTTCCTCCAATTGAACTGGTAATTTTGGTTCCTGCTTCGGAGACTCTTCTATTTTAGTTTTCCTTGCTTCAAATTCATCATTACTAATTTCTTCATCTCTATTTTCATTTTCAAATTTAGGCACATAATCTTCTCCCTTTTTTGTCCCTTCAATTATGTCTTTCCCAGTAACCCTGGTTGCACTAGAAAGAAATTTTTCTAATACCCCTTCTTCAATTGCAGTACCTTTTGCTTCAAATTCTTCCGTAATTTCTGTTGCCACCCTCTCTTCGTCTTTGCCTTCAATTGCAAACTCATTCTTTTCAATTTCTTTCTCTAGTGTCCCTTTGAATACTTCCACCTTTTCTTTATCTCTATCTTCAATTTCAAACTTAGTTTCATCAATTTCTCTCTGCTCTATCGCTTCAACTATGTCTTCCTCATTGACTCCAATTTTCCCATCAAGCAACTTTTTGGATTCCCCTCCTTCCATTTTACTTTCTGTCGCTTCAAGTCCTTTCTCATTATTTTCTATTCCCACAAATTCTTCATCTTTCTCTTCGATTTCAAACTTAGCTGCTTCACTTCCTCTAATTGACCCGACAAGCGCCATTTCAGATTCCCCTCCTTCCATTGTTGTATCCATTGCCTCAAGTCCTACCTTGCTAGTTTCTGTTCCGACCCTTTCTTCATTTGCTCCCCCAGTTTCAGACTCAACTTTTTGAATCTCTCTCTTTTGTGTTCCTCCAAATATGTCTTTCACCCTTTCCTTATCTTGATCTTCAATTTCTTTCTGTGTTATGCCTTTGACTACGCCTTCTTTGCTAACCTCAATTTTCCCACCAATCACTTTCTCGGGTCCCACTCCTTCCATTCTAGTTTCTATTGCTTCAGGTTCTTCCTTTCCAGTTTCTCTTCCCTCCCTCTCTTCATTCTTGCATTCAGTTTCAAACTTAGCCTCTTCAAACTCTCTCTGTTTAGTCTCATCAATTCCCCCTTTCTCATCAAACCCAGTTGCCCCAACAAGCATCATTCTAGATTCATCTCCTTCCATTATAGTTTCTTTTGCTTCAAGTCCTCCCTTCCTAATTTCCACCTTTCCTCAAATTTTCCTTCACTGTCAGAATTAGTGTCTTCAATTTCTTTCTTTTGTTTCCCTTCATCTATAGCTTCACCATTAATCCCAAAAGCCCTAGCGAACACCTTTTCAGGTTCCCTTTCTTCCATCGTAGCATCTATTGATTCAAGTCCTCCTTTACTAACTTCTGTTCCCTCCCTTTTTGCATGTCCTTTCTCACTAATTTTTGTTCCCACCCTTTCTTCATCTTTGCTTTCACATTCCAACTTAGTTTCTTTGATTTGTGTTCTTTCAAATATGTCCTCCTCACTAGTCCTGAAAGCTCCAGCAAGAACTTTTTCAGATTTCCTTCCTTGCATTGTAGTGTCTCTAGCTTCAAGTCCTTCCTTACTAATTTCTGTTTGCACCCTTTCTTCATCTTTGCTTCCATTTTCAAACTTAACCTCTTCGACTTCTCCCTTTGGTGTTCCTTTAAATTTGTCTTCTCCAGTGATCCCAGGTGGCCCACCGAGCATAATATTTTCAGTTTCCTCCAATGGCTGAAGCACAGGCACCTTCAACACTTCGGGACTTGCATCTTCAATGTTCTTTGGTGTATGACATACATTTTCGCCTAGGTCTGATTTCTTCATTGCTTCAAATCTTGGGCTTTCAATTTCTTTTTGGATTGTGTCAGCAGTTACATTCCCATTGGTGGATTCTACAAGTTTCTTGTCAGATAATCCTTCTTCCAGTTTGAAAACACTCTCATTTTCCCCAATTTCAGAAGCTTTCTGGCTTGATTCCCCAAATCCTTCTTCCTTTCTCACCTCTTCAATCTGAACCCCGCAAATCCCTTTCACCAACTTGGGCATTACAATTTTCAATAATGATTCATCTTCATCAAACTTGGCGCTGATTCGATCCAAAACCACTCCACAGGGGATTTTAAAAACCTTTCTAAACCCTACAGTTTCCACATTTTTCTTCAACATTACCCTCCCCATCATCAAAATTTCCTGAACTGGCTTCTCTCCATTAATGGAAATCTCCTTACCATCCTCACTAATCTTGATCTCAAAGCTATTTCTGTGGTAACCTGCAAATTTAATGAATGCTTACTGTGGTATACTGGATACGAAGGTTCCTAAATCATCAAGTATTCAGAGCGTTTCATCTTCCAAGAATAAAATATTTTGAGTTGAGTGATAAATAAAAAGAAAGAATACCAATCATAATCCGGGCGGAAGAAACTATATATAGATAGAAGATTGAGAGAAAAATAGAATGACCTTTGAGATAGCAAGTGAGGATGAAGGTGGCGTGAGTTTCAGTGGACACGAACACTGGACCTTCTCTGCTTTTGGAAATGCGAAGCTCAGAGATAGAGGTGGCATTATCAGGGGCCCTGGTTCGAGTGATCTTGAGCCCAAGTTCAAGCGCCATAGGTGACGATGTTGCTATATCGTGTCACATGAAAAAATGGCTGTGCAACAAAGAAGAGAGCGAAAACGAAAGAAGTACATGAGAGAGAGGCTTACTGATTATGTGGCTAGAAGAAGAGTCTGAAAATGGAAGCGGTGGCTTAGCAAAAGAGGAAAGCATATATTCATTTCTTCCTCATGTACAGTGCTTGCGGTCATGTATTTCTGCACTCTATGTTTGAACAGAATAGAGCATACAGGCCGAATGGCAAACACGGGACATTCCAAGAAAGCCAAAACGCATGGACAATTATTCTGTGTCCCCCAGTCTCTCCCTCTAAGCTGATCATAATAATTGTTCTCTCAGACCCTCACCTTGGCTCTTGCTGTACTTTTGTCTTCCTGTTGGTCAATCTCCTTGGAATCTGCACCACTATCACTCCATTTTCAAATTTATCATTCTGATTTTTTATTGTTTTTATCCAATAATTAATTTGTTAAAAAATTTCTCCAAATTTTCTAAATATATCCTTACTCTCTCATGTCCTAATTATAAAATCTGATTAATTAATTTATGGAGATTAAGAAAATTAATTAAGTTTGTTATTTAAGGGATGATGAAATTTTTAATCTCTTAAATTTGTCTTAATTATTGATTTAATCTTTAAGTTTAATTTTTATTGATTTAATCTTTTATATATTTTCTTAAATTATTATGAGTTTTTTAAGCTTTAAAATACAAATTAATTTTTAAAATAATTTAGTGTATATATGATATATGGATGACTTGACACACACACACAAAGAGTTAAATGAAAATAAATTAATTCTTAAATTAGTTTAATTTTATCAATAGAATCCCTGACACTATTTTGTTCTCTTGTGTTTTGAAATTTCAGAGTTTGTTTTTACCTGTACAAATAAATATATTTCCTTTCATTAATTATCATTATTTTGTTATACATGTCATCAAATTTTAACAATTTCACTTTCTTTTCAATCAATTTAAGGATTAAATCAATAATCAAAATAAACTTAAAAGATAAATCGTCAAAAATTAAACTTGAACAGCCAAAATTAATAACTAAGATAAACTTAAGGGACAAAAAGTTGCACTATATATCCCGTTATTTAATTTGCCATTATTATGTACTACTACTAATTATTAACTCATGAGTATATATCATGGGGAAGTTCTAGAAAAATTATTCACTAATGGAAATTGAAATGTGTGTTTTTTTTAGGAAAAATTAATCTTTTAGTCCTTCAACTTTTAAGTCACATATAACTCAGTCTCTCAACTATAATTTGCTGCAACTCAATCTCTCAATTTTTGATTTACCTATAACTCGGTCCTTATTTTTAAATTTTTTTAAAAAAATTTTAAATAAGAAGGATAAAAAAATGCTCATATATTATTTTAAAATACCCTCTTCTTATTCATTAATGTGAGATATAAGCTAATATGACAAAAAATTAATAAAGGTTAAGGAATTGATTTATAAGTGATTCAAAAGTTAAGGGACTGAGTCATAGGCGATTTATAGTTGAAGAACTGAGTCACAGCGAGTTATAGTTGAGGGATTGAATTACAAGTAACTTAAAAGTTGAAGGACTAAAAGATTAATTTTTTCTTTTGTTTATTGCTCACAAATATACTCTTGTATTGGAAGTAATTCTATTTGAGGTAAGATCAGATATTAAATGTGGGCATCTCTCTAAGCAAGGATTCAAACATTAATTTGTCATGTTATAAGACATTAATGCCTTTTACTAGACTCAACTTCCGTTGGTGAAAATGTGTGTTATTAGAGAAAGTGCTGGTAGTAATAATTAATGAGGTATTGGATTCAAGCTTGTATGAAGCTAAAAAACATTTCTAGAAGTACTCTTTAATTGAATTTGATAAACTCGAATTTAATCCAATCAAATAGTTATCCTCTATAAAAATAAGTAATATATAACAATGTTGAGGCATCTGATCTGAGGGTCATTGCATTAAAGAATATATATATATATATATATATATGGCCGTTAATAGTTACTAAGATTTATATATAGTGGACATTGGGTAATGGTATGTGCATCAATGCTTGGAAAGACTCATGGATCGATCCCAGGTCTATATAGTGGCAAAGCTGTTAAACAAGATGGCGTAATGGTTAATGAAAATTTGCTTGTTGCCGATTTAATACATAATGGGAGGTGGAATCTACCTTCAATGGTCCACCGTATGACCTCTGAAACCATTCAAATATAAGTAAGATCTACATCCCCTCTAACGGTGCTCTTGACTCTTTTTCTTGGACAGGTGCAAAAAATGGATAATATATTCCTAAACTTGGATATTGATTGGAATACTGCAGGTCTCATTCTATAATCCCAAGAAACACAAGGTCATCTTTTTTGCTGCCTAAAAGCTTTTGGAATTGTGTTGGGCAACGTAAGATCCACCCAAAAGTTAAGCAGTTTATGTGGAGAGCTTCGAATCAGTCTCTTGCAATAAAAGATGCCTTGTATGCACGCAAGTGCTCTCCCAACCCACTTGTCTATTTGCAAGCATACGCGTGAAATCATTGAGCATCTTCTATTACTTTGTGGATGGGTCTAAAAAGCTTGGTTTGGCTGTCCTTTCACCCTTATTGTGGGTCCTTTACATTTACATCTTTTAAATCTTGGCACCATGCTTTTCTACTTGATGATAGTCCACTAGATGACTTTGGTAAGGCTTATATGGCTTGTCCATGCTGGAATATTTGGAAGACAAGATTAGCCTCTGTATTTTCTATTGCTGAGGTCAATCCCAGTAAGTTCATTATTGACACACAAGCTGCTGTTAGAGAATTTTGGACTGTCAATTACAAGGCAACTGCACCTAACTCCCCCCCTATTCCCCACAATATTAAGTGGAGTCCTCCTGCTCAAGGTTGTCTCAAGATAAATTGTGACTGATCTTTCTGCACCAATTTTGGCAAAGCAGGTATTAGTGTTATATGCCCGGTCTTTAATGGAAATTTTCTTAAAGGGTGCGGGGAATCTGCTCACGCTAGCTCTAGTTTCATGACAGAGTTATTAGCTTGCTCCAAAGCCACTGCTCTTGCTGCTGATTTCAGAACCAACATGAGACTATTGAAATGGATTGCTTAGAACTTTTCAGGGCCATTACAACTAAAAGTGCAGCTTGTAGTAGCTGGTTTTATCATGGCATGATGCCAGATCTCTTGTCTTGTATTGAGTCAAATACTTACCTTTCCTTCTCATTCATCAGATGTGAGGGAAACGCAACTGCTAACCGGCCAGTAGCCAACTCGCCAAAGGGTGCAGACCATCTTGGTTGTCTTGCTCAATCCCCACTCCTTCTATTATTACCTTACCTCTTGCGTGACTCAATACCTGGTAGAAGTATTTTTTTGCATCCTGTGACCAACAACTATAGGGAAGGCATTGGTTAATGCTTTATTTTGATTTAAATTTTGTTCTGTAGGTCTTTGCTGCCGTGGCTTATGACTTTTTCTCTTATGTACTCCCGTTTCATGAATGAAATTATTCCTTTGATTTTTTTTAAAAAAAGATATATATATATATATATATGCATGCATATGTATATTTATATATTGTTTTTCCTAAATGAAGAAATAATTGGAAGTAACTTGAGACAAAAATTTCATTAGCTCCATTGAGTCATGCATGAGTCCAAATTTTAATAACTAATGGGCGAGTTTGAGATGCTAATCATACAGGCATTAAACTCCGCATGTCATGATATTATATCATACTTCAAAACAATACTACAATTTTTGTTGGCAAAAAAAAAAAAAAACCGACAATTTTTCTTCCGATAAGTTCCGATTTAGATTTATCCTCTTATTGCTTCCATGCGTCATCATCTCTTTGAACCAGTAAATCTGAAGTTTTTCTGTTATGGCGGGAAAGTAAAATAATAACATGTCATGTGGCTGCGGGTCACCCTCTCTCTCTCCCCTTCACTGACCTGTTCTATCAAACTTGATGCCATATGACCTTTTTGTTTTTTTGTTTCTGGCTTCTTTCTGCCTCATCCTTCTCTCCTTATTATACCACTTACATATAATAAAATAAAAACAGGGAAAAATTAAGTCTTAATATATCTAACACCATAATTATTATATAATTTAACTAAGCAACCTATATATAATTGTCGAATAGAAACCCTAGCTATGACTGTGAAATAACAATCTTTATTTGAAGTTAAGGAAAAGTAGAAGCTATAGCATCAACAGATGGAACAAAAAATAATTGCATTTAATAATTAAATATCATCTCCGAGGAATAATCAAAACCTTACTGCAAGAGATGGACCTACCTCTTTCCAACTCTTCTTTGGCGAATGAAGAAAATTACAAGAGACCCGACAAAGGCTGCTGATCCTGCAATGAATAAAGGACGACGTCGGCGACCATCCAGCATTTTTTTCTCTTCATTCTCTTTGAATGGGATTTCTCTTCGCTCTTCTACTACTTGGGAGATTTCCACGTACACATCATCTCTTTCAACGCTAGCTTTCTCGTCTACATCATCTGCTTCCACTTGGACATCTTCCACTTCATCTATTTGCTTTGAGATAATTTCCACGTAGACCCCATCTCTTTCTTCCATATTAGCTTTCTCCTCTTCACTTGCTTCCACTTTCACTCCATAATGTTCATCAGCTTCCACTTCAATTTCCTGTCCTCCAACTTCGCTTTCTCTCGGTCCTCTAATCTCATTATTACATTCTACGAACCGTGGGGACTCTAGTTGTGAGCTTTTCAATAGCTTCACATCAGAATCTTGCTGTTTCTTTGTTACTTGAGATTCTTCATTTCCACTCTCACCACATTCATTGTTATCATTGTTACACAGTTTGCCTTTCTCTTCATTTATTTCATCTCTGACGTTTCGTCCAAACATAGGCTCTTCAATTTCTGTCTGTCCCCCTTCAGTTATCTCCACAACACCGTTACTTTCATCCGGTACTACTTGAAGTGATTCTTTTGGTTCCTCGGGAAGCTCTTTCACTTTCGTTTCCATTATTGCTTCAAACCCTTCCTTATTACCCATCTCTTGTTTTACACTTCCTTCACTGTGATCCTCAGCTTCCAACTCCAGTTCTTCTGCTTCTATTCGATTTGAGTCTCCGTTTGTGTCTTCCACAAAAGTACGACTTGTCTTCGTTTGAAGTGATTCTTCAGCTCCTTCTTTCACCTCTACATCTCTATCTTCAATCTCTTTCTCTTTTGTGCCTGCAATTATTTCTTCCCCAACTTCCTCTAATGATTGAATCAAAATATTTTTATTGTAAACTTGTTGGCGTCCCTCTCCTATGTTCTCAGGAATATGGTCTTCTTCTACATTTAGCTCTACTTGTGAATTCTTATTCACTTCTTCACCAGTTTCTTCTTTGCCATCCTCTTCTCTCTCACTTTCCCCATATTTGTTCCTGATTTTAAAGCTAGGGTTTTCAATTAGATGAAGCTCAAACTCTTTGACAACTTTGTGACCGCTCGACTTTCCAAATTCTTCTTGTTCCTTTACGGCTTCAATTTGGGCCCCAGAAATCCCTTTCACAAGTTTGGGCATGCAAATTTTCAGTGCAGATTCCTCTTCACTGTACTTGGCCTTGATCTGATCCGAAACCACGCCATTAGGGATTTTGAAAACCTTTCTAAACCCTAAAATTTCTCCATGATTATTCTTGCGCATTACCTCCCCCTGCAGAATCACCAGCTTCTGAATTGATTTCTCTTCACTTGTGGGAGTTTCTCTACCTTCTTCCTTGATGTTGATCCCAATGCTATTTCTCTTGCACCCTGCGTTTTTCACAACTACCTAGTCTGGTCTGGTATACTGAAGAATAAAAAATATTCTCAAAAGATTACGAGATTATTAATTTAATGAAACTTTAGATATTATTTTTTAAATAAATTATATAGACCCTGCCTAAGTTATATTTCATTAAAATCACAAGTTAGAAACACTTCCCATCCATTTCTAGAATATAGATACACTTCCTTCATTGAAATAAAGTGTGCATACTGCTGGATTTTTTTAACTGAGAGAAATTAGATTCCCTTATTAATACATCTACTCCCCTGATTTTGGATAGTAAGAATGTTCGTTTAATTAAAGTTAATAAGGACAATTTAGTAGGAAAAAAAAAAAGTAGAAGCGGATGAAAATGTTCCATATGGTTTCAGAAGATCGAGAAAATGGTACTGTAGATTTTAGCATAGAAAATAAGAAGCATGAAGAATTCTTATTTTGTGTAATAATAAATTTTAATTAAAATACATTTGAAGTTTGATTTGAATGCTGTGTATTTTGAAAGAATAGAAATAAAATAAGTGATGAGAGAGATACGTACGATGGAGATGGGCACAGAGGATGAACATGGAGGAAGTCTCTCTACTCCAGAAGACTGCCTCTTCTCTGTCTTTTGCTATCCGAAGAAGCTCGCAACCGTCACTGTCGTTGTCGTCGTCGTCATGTTCTCTGGTTCTTCTTTTGATGATGTTGTCTCCCATTTCTAGCTCCGTGTGTGCGTGCGCGCGCGTGTAACTGCGAGGTGAACGAGTTGCTGCTGATTTCTACGTATATTATATAGTATGATGCAATTACATGAACAATGAAAGGATGCTAAAAAAACAAGGACATAGAACCAGAGAGAAAAAGTGAGGTTGCTTTAATGCGTAAACCGAGTAGTGTTGCTCAATTGAGAGAGAGGCTAAAGAGACGACAGCATATATTCATTTCTTCCTCTCACACTACTTCTGCTCTTTGTCGGCACTCCGACTGTTCTCTTATTTTTTAGTTTAAATCATTTTTATCAAATTTTAACAAGGTTTAAGAGTTTTTTTTTTTTTTACCCTTTAACTATGTGCGAAACGTCACAAGTGATCCTAAATTTAATTATGCGCTATTTATATCTCTCAACCTCAAAGATCATTATGTTTGAACCATTTGTTGCTCTCTGTGGGCCTTGTGATTTGAATTTTTTAATATTTCATTATAAAATATTTAATTATAAGTCCCATCATTTTTTATATTTTTATAATGCAAAAATATTAATCTCCAACACTTTCTCTTTGTCCCTCCCCTATCTATGAGCTAAAGTGGTAAAAACTAAAAAGCACAAGCTACCTCCTCTTCTTTATTCTTCCTCCTCTGACTTGCATCTCCCTTCCAGTGCTACCTCTACCACCCTCAACCTACTTCCTTCTAACTCTGTTTCGCTCCTCTCCTCTTAATCTAGAGTCAACTAGGACAACAAGCTCCTCTATGCCCTCAATGAGCGCTCGACTATTATTAGTGGTAGGGTGTTAAGCGCCCCTATGGTAGATTCATTTACTTCATCATCCTCCAGAACTTTGACCTTCGTGGCTTCTTCCCTCTTGACACCTTGTCCTGTCACAACTAGCTTTATGTCCTTAGTCTTTATAACAACTCCTTCTCTGGTCTGAGACCAAGCCACCTTACTAGCGAAGGACAAACTCGAGTTGACTCAGATCTTCGGCATCATCACCTTCACGTACTAGCTACTCCTCTTTCACCTTCACTCTATCGACCATATAGGAGAGGAAACTACTTGCTGCTATAGCTCATGATCATTGTCTCTCTATCCACCACTCTTATTGAAATTACCCCAAGAAGAGATTGTGTCAGATCATGATCCAAGGTTCATATCAAACTTCTGGAAAGCATTACACAAAGCTATGGGTATGAAATTGAAGTTCAACAATGCCTATCACCCTTAGGCTGATGGTCAAATAGAGAGAGCCATTCAAGTCTAAAAGACATGCTACGAGCATGTGCCATCAAATGGAGTAGCAGTTGGGTTGGGATAAGCACTTATCTTTAGTAGAATTCTCTTATAACAATAGTTTTCATATGAGCATTCAAATGGCTCTATATGAGGCTTTATATGGAAGGAAATGCAAATCATCCCTTTATTGGATCGAGTTGAGCGAGAAAAGCATAATGGGTCCTTATTTAGTGGATCAAACCATCAAGAAGATTGAGACAATTCATCAGAAGTTGTTGACTGCTCAGAGTCAATAGAAAAGTTATGCAGATAAGAGGAAGAGACCATTAGAATTTATGGTAGGCAACCATGTGTTCCTTAAGGTTACACCCATGACAAGAATTGAGAGGTCTATCCGTGCTAAAAAGTTGACTCCTAAGTTTATTAGGCCATTTGAAATTCTTGAGAAAATTGGGCCTTTGGCATACTAGATTACTTTAATTTGCCTCCTAACTTGTCGGTTGTACACGATGTATTCTATATGTCTCAACTGAAAAAGTACCAACCCAACCCTTCATATGTCATTGAGCTCGAGGATATAGAGTTACGTGAGAATCTAACATATCAGACAGAGCCGGAGAGAATTGTTGATAATAAGGAGAAACATATGAGAAACAAGACAATTTGACTCATAAAGGTCATATGGAAAGGGATGACTCCTGGTGATGCTACGTGGAAAATCGAGGAAAAGATGAGGTAGTAATATCCTCACTTGTTCTCTTAAGGTAAGTTTTTCTGGCTCTGTATAAGTATTCAAATTTTGGAGACAAAATTCTTACAAGAAGGGGAGAGTTATAATATTATAAAATTTTAATCCCCTAATTAACTAAGCTTAATTATGTTAATTAAGTAAGTTGAGGTGGCGTATGGCTAAAGAGATCTAATAATCATATTCAATTATGTTTCAGCTCTAATTATGGGTCTAGTATCAAGTCAGGCCACGCGGGCATTGAAAGAAAAAGAACATAAAGATTTAGTATTGCTATGTCATATGCCACGGCATGAATCACGTCTGCTGCGGTGCACAGACATAATTGATATGAGAAAAAGGCCTTTCTGTGCCATGCACCGTGACACATATAGCATCTGCCACAATATATAGCCATTTTCTACAACATATCAATTATAAACTAAGACAGAAATAGAGAGGAGAGGAAGGAGAAAATGAGGAAGGTGTGCTAAACTTTGCTAAGATTTGTTCTTGGACGACATGAAGAGTATTTTGGAAGCTATAATCACCATAAGTAAGTATCATACTCATTAATCTCCCTATCTCTTCCATATTTATGAGTTTATGATTAGGGTTTAATATTGGAAGATGATTTTCGATTTATATAGGTTATGAGTTCAAATCCCTTGACTCAAATGAAGTTAATAGGAATAGATTTGAGTGTCTAAAGCTAAAGCTAATTAATTTTGGTATTTTTGGTTGTTGAACTTCATAAATATTCAAAAATTATATTTATGAGGGTTGTTGGAAAAGGTAAAATGCCATTAATAGGAGCTTAATGGCTCATTAATGTTATTGGGAACTAAAAAGAGTTAATAAACCTAATGGGTAAGCCTAAACTTCTACAAACTGGGCATTAGGTACCCTAAAAGTGGAAATGAGAGTTGTGATGTGTGTGTTTGGCAATGTTAATGAGTTAAGAAATTGATAATTATAGGTTAAGCTCTTGGATACTAATTTGGCTTGGAAATTCAAGTTTAGAAGCTGCAAATATTGAGGGGCGAACTTTTAATTTCTCAAATGTTTGAGGTAAGTGGGATAACCCTATTCTAGGTAGTTATATGTCAATTAATTGTTAATTATAAATAATGTAGATTGTCACATCCATGAGTTAATTTTAATGTGAAAGCATGTTAATACTCTTGATTTATGTTTTCAAAATATGAATGTTCATGATGTTATATTTGGCTTGTATTACAAATGTGAAATCAATGTAGTTTTTAAGCTATGAGCATGCATATACTGTTGAGAAGATGAATGTAATATTAGGTTGAGGTAAATGTGGATTAATAAAAAAATATAATATTGTGTTAGGCTGTAGCATCAATAGACCCACGAGGTAATGGTGAGCCTAAGTAGGGCAAAAGACCCTAGAGGGTGTGGTGAGATGTTACACTTAAAAATAGAAATAATGTTGAGAAAATGAGATTTGTGAAAATAATTAGTCCTCGCATATGGCATGATTATTTAGCGAAAGTTCACCTAGGGATTGAGAGTAGTTAAAATTCATATGATATTTAAGCTACTCTCCAATGCACGGGGGTATAACCTTGTTCCATAATTTATCAAGGAACTATTTCATAGTTTGTTAAAGGACTAGAACCTAGCTTTCACCACCATTTTATCGAGGAGAATGGCCTAGGAAATATGACACCCTAGATATTCAAAAGTAGGAAAATCAGTAGTCCAAGAACGAGTCATGTGATCTTTAGCTAGGTTGCACCTCAGGATTGGTGAGTTTAGGTAGTCTGGTCACACGAATAGAGCCCTATTCAATGTTATAGCCTACAATTTCAATTAGAAGAAATAAGGAGGTTATAAGATTGGTTGATCATTGCCTATGTGAACTTATGATGTGTCACACACTTTAAGTTGTGGAAAATTGTGTGTTGTGATAGTCATAGTCACATTTTGAGTGTCTTGTGATTATGTACCTAGTATGTATGAGATGAAAATGTGTTAACTAGATTAATAAGTTATGATGTCAAGCATGTTTTAAGAACTTGGTTTCATATGTCTGTGTTTAATTTTAATTAATATATAACTGCATACGATAGTGTTCATAGTCAAGTGTTACCTCAAGTGTACAAGTCATCACAAGTATAGAATATTTCAAAGTTATCATTCCTATAAGGATTTAGGCAAATGAAGGTTAAAATTCACCATTAAGCTTTAAGATAGGTTGAATTAAATCAAGAGTATGTTTGTGTGAAAGTAATGAAAATTGGATCAAAATTGTTTTAAAGTAACTAAAATTGTTGAAACCTTAACTTTCAAAGTTGAAGATTTAGGATTAACTCTCCCCTTTATATTTCATAAAACTTAAATCAATTCCTCTCAAATAGATTCTTTTAATGAAAATAAGTGTTAGTCTAGGATTCTAATTTACTTGAAAAATCTTTCTCAAGTTAAAATTAAGTATATTTACAAACACTAAAATTTTAAAATCTCTTGAAAATAATTAGTGAAAACAATTTTTAAGCTCCAATCTTAATGTAACTATAAAGGGTTAATAAAATATCTCTATTTTATTAATAAAACCATCCATTTATCTTTGTAAATTTTAAGTCCAACATTATTTTATCTAAGTTCTCTACCTAAATTAACTCTCTCAAGTACAACTCAAGTGAACAAAATAATCTAAATAGTGATCAAGCACTTAAAAACATTAAGCAAAGGATGAAATAAAAACGCATATATCATTAACTACTAAAAGAGAGAAATATTCAAGTCTTAATCCATACAAAGGTTTAAAATAATCCTATAACAAGAGAACTAGCTGCCCATGCTTAGAAAAAAGCCAAAAATGTCACAATATACAGCATTCATATTAGAAACAAAGAGAGAAAAGGGAAGAGAAGAAGAAAAACTGAAAGAAATCTACTTGAATCTCTTTAGATCTTTAATCCTTGGCAAATATCCTTCAAGAACCCTAAACACTAGTAGGGCAAGCCTCAAAAAATCTCTAAAAATTGCAGCTCCCTCTTTGGAGGTGTGTTTATGGCTTATCTATCATAATTTTTTCATTCTGCAACTCAAAATGCATAGCATAATTTAGATCATGTGCCACGGCATGTTGTTAGTGCATCGAGGCACATATGGTAAAATGTTGAATTGTGCCATGGTGTAGCATGCCGCGGTGCTTCTGCATCTCTAGGAACTCCGTCTCTGTGCCACATGCCCATAACATAATTTGTATGCACCATAGCACATGACATATAATCTCTAATCTTCACTTTTGGCTCTAATTTTTCTACTATTATATTTTCATATGCATCTTTAAACATCATTTAGCTATCTATTTTTAAAATTACCAAAAATAAATCACTTGAAATAGTAAATACAGCTATGAGATCTTTCAAAGTTTAAAATCAAGGTAAGAATTTATGCAAAATTCTCAATAAATTTTATTTTCTTGGTCAACCTAGATTAAAGCTCATTTTCCTATATTTAAACCTAAAATATTCACAATTGATCTAATTCATCAAATAAAGTGTAGGAAAATACGCTGAATTGACATTAATTTTAATAGGTTATCAAGCAGGTTTTACCTTAATTACTGAGTGACTAGACTCACCCCTTTCATTTAATACTTTATAGGCTCTAGCTCTGGTGCAAAGAGGGGGAAGGCTCAAAAGGTTAGGAATTAGTTGATTCCTACAGTATACCTCTAGATTATGTTTGTTTTATGTAATAGAATATTTTATGAATTCTGGGTCTCATATTATTGCACTTGTACTGTTTTATTGTTGCAATTATTTGAATTTTATTTTAAGCCCTAAGTAATTGTGTTTGACGAGTTATATATGTTGAGAGAGTCAAAGCACCAGTGCAAGTTCAGAAATGATAATTTAAACATATTATGATGGTTTTTGATGCAAAGCAAAGCAAATTACCTCCCCCTTCTATTTTTGGTGAAAAAAGGGGTTGAGGAGTGATTTTGTGTTTTATTGATAGTTGAGCATGCATGACATGTTGTATTAATAGTCCTAAAACCAATAGACATGGTCGGGGTGTTAAGAAAAACTTTTAGCACTTATTTTGAGTTTTGGACACCCTCTGTTTGTAAAAAGTTATAAAAAGCGGTAAAATTATATTTAGGTGTCCAATTTCATGGTGTGATTAGTTTTGAAAGTGAAACCTATGCCATTATTTAGTTAATAAGAAGAGCTTTTATATAGACACCTAAATCATGTCATTCAAATATCGGATAGAGATTTGGGGTGGGTCAAAAGTTTCATGATTCTACTATCAATCTATTGTTATTTGCGTGCAACATGCCGTGGCTTATGGGCAGCGTATTACCCTATCTTGCAGCAAATGAGTTGTTCTTCACTTGTTTTCATTCTTTTTCACTCCTCTAAGGTATCACGTACTTTTGTAACTTATTTTGATTTTGACATAAGAGATTATGATTGATTCTAAATTCCTTTTGATTATAAAAACTCGGGATCCCTTATTTTGAAACTAAAACTTCATAATCTTCTAATTAGGTTAGTCATTTGATTATTATGAGTTTGTTTGATTAATTGTGTTTAGTAGTGAGGGATTTTACACTTTTAATTTGATAAATATTATAAAGATTTAATAACTTTAATTTTATTTTTTAAAATATAAGAATTAATATTTTAAATGATTAAAACTATAAAAATTGTATTGCACCGAGTTAAAATTTAAGAATTGAGTTATAATCGAGTTAAAATTTTAAGGATTAAATTACAATGAGTTAAAATTTAGGGATGAAATTATAATTCAATCAAAATTACTATTATAGAGATCAAATAATTAGTTTTTTCGTTCATTTAACTTGGTTATCTGTGAACTTTTTTTTTTAATTGGTCATGGATTTTTTTTTTCTATTCAATTTGGAATCTCTCTCTTGACAAAATCTTTTCAAATTCACGTGGTTAATTCAAAACAATTCATTTCTAAGAAAATTTGAATTCATTTCACTCTACCAATACTAGTAATTATATATAATTTTAAATATATGATTTTTGAGATTACTTTAAATTTGAAACTTTATTTATAATTTTTTTAAGAGATGGAACCTAAAATTAATTAAAACAAAAATACTCTTACGTGCGCCATTAACACATGCTCTACAATCATTTGAACACATGGCTTCCACCATAAGTAATTAATTAATGCCACACGAGGTAGCCCATGTGACTTATTAACAGTCCCATCCTTCATTACAACACACAGAGGACTTGGAAACACGTTCCCTCCCTCCTAATTTATTTTAAAAGCACAATAATTACTTCACATCACAAAACATCACCTAGAAGCTCCAAGCTCGCAGAACCTGCCAGCTTGATCGACCAGCATTCTCACTTTAGAACCGACCTCCACGTGCATCCTCGGAGCTGCCGTGTCTACCACCTTCCCTACCACCGGAGCCGCCAAAGCCACCGGAGCGCTCATTGCCACCACCAGAACGCTCATTGCCACCACCGAAAGATGATTCCTTGTGTCCACCACCGAAGGATGAGTTGTTGTGGCCACCAGTTTCAAAGTTTGCACCACCACCACCACCACCAAAGGATGATTTGTTTTCATTGTCACGGCCGGCGCCACCGCCGAAGGATGATTTGTTGTGACCGCCTTGCTCATGTCCTCCTCCATGAGCACCGCCGAAGGATGAGTGATCGTGATGCTGGTGAGACATGATGATGATGATGATGAGAAATGGGAATGAATAATACAGAAGAAGAAGAAGAAGAAGAAGAAGAAGCCTGAGAAGTGGATGTGGTTGAAGCAGGCATGTCTGCAGGTATTTGTAGATGAAGTGCCTGAGGTTGATGTGTGGTCAGTTCTTTGAGTGACCACAAATGACCTCAAGGGGGAAGATAAGATGAAAATAAATATCTGGCTAGAACTTCGTGGGAACATGCACGTGCTTTTATATTTTGTAAATTATAAATATCATCAAATCGGAAGCATCTACACATATCCAATGATAGACATGGTTCTGGCAACGTGCTGGTTTTTACTTTTAAAATTGTTGAACCCAGTATCAATGTCATAATAAAATCTAAAATTTACATAAGAACTAAGATACTATTCATAAGACTTGGATTAAATTTCATGTAATGCTATTTTTTTTAGGTATTTTAAGTCTATATACTTTCCTTCCTCTATGATGTTTGTCCCTATAACCAGTGGTGGAGGGAGGGGGACCAACAAGGGCTGCCGTCCCCTAATTTTCAAATTTTTTTTTATATTATATGCATGTTACATACTTATGGCCTTCCTACAATTTATGAAAATATTGTAGTATATATATATTTTAATTTTGGCCCCCTTTATTCTTAATTCTTGATTGTGCCCTGCCAATAACTTTTAGATGAATATTGACGTGACACAAATGATATTAAAACTACTAATTTATCCACTTACACTATTAAGTTTGTGTTGAGGTGTTAAATGATTGCTAAATTGGATATTTTAATAAACAAAATAAATTAAAAAAAGCTACATTAGATTAAAAAAAAGATTGATCTAGAGTCTAAAAAAACTCTAAAAATATCTATAAAATATCTTTAAAAATATTTAAAATGTACTTTAATCTTGATTTTAAAACTTTAAAACCTACAATTTTTTTTAAGAAAATTGAGTTTTCTAAGTATTTTAAATATCTCAAAAATATATTTTATATTTTTATAATATAAAAATAATTAATTTTAAAGAAATAAAAATTAATTTTAAAAAAATTAAAAATTAAGCTATTCAAGCATTCAAGCCGGTCTAAATAGGTACAAAAAGGTTAAGATCAGACTTAGCTATTCAAGCTTTTTTATAAGTTCAAGCTCAAAATTGAAACTTAAAGAGTTAAAAGAAAAAGGTAATAGGAGAACCTAAAGCTCTCGACCTAATCTCCTTCTAACTAGAGTCAATAATTCTGATAAGTCATCCTTATTCAAGTTATTGGATAAGCCCCAATTTTAAAAAAAATTAATTTTTACTTTAAAATTAGTTATTTTTATATTATAACAAATGTAAAGTATATTTTTGGAATACTTAAAAAATGTAGAAAACTCAATTTTTTTTTAAAAAATTCTGGTTTAAAGTTTAACAATCAAGATTAAAATATAAAATATATTTTTGAGATATTTTATAGATATTTTAAGTTAAGAGTTTTCCTAACTCCTTGTCAGTCTTTTTTTTTTTAATCTAGTGCAGCTTTTTTTAATTTATTTTGCTTATTAAAAAGTCCAACTCAACACCCATTTAACATATCAACATAAATTTAATGTCATTAGTAGACACATCAACAATTTTAACATCATTTATGCCACATCAACGTCACTCTAAAATTATAGAGACCAATATAATAGGAAAAAAATAAGTATAAAGATCTAAAATATAAAAAAAAGTTCAAAGACTTGTAACAAAATTTAAGTATAGGAACCAAAAGTAATGTTTTAATTCCCTTAAAATATGATGATATATAATTAGTTCTATTAATAAAAAGATTTGGTCACAAATTAAAATTTGATAACATTTCAAATAAAAAATAGTAAATAAAAAATTATAATCAAATTTAAAATAAAATAAAATAATTTGACCTTAACATATTTTTTTAATCGACTGAATTGCACATGCTCATATTTTGTATGGAGTTTGAGATGATCTATAAATATAAATAATGAAACAATTTCTATGAAATTTATGTTCTATAAAAAATATAGATTCTATTTTTCTTAGTCCCTCTAGTCCTATTTGTAGAAAATTTTTTAGAAGTAATTTTTAATCCAAAATATAGGACACTTTATAATAATTAAATTATTTTTTTTAATTTTACCTTTTCTTGATTAGAGAGAGGGTATTTAATGTAGTTGTAACATTATTTAAAGTTAATAATAAAAATGAAAGTACAAATCACTTTTTTATGATTTCAGAAAAAAACTTTTTCTTAAAATCCATGAAATGATTGAAAGTGTCTTACAATAAAGACCGAAAGGAGTATGTACTATTTACATCTAAATTCCTGATATAAAATAAGGTAAATGTGCAAATTTAGTTACAAATTATTTTTTAGGACCATTGAGTATCCCATACTATGAGATGATGCCAAAAAGATTAATTATAGAAAATGTAGCATCCACAACCTTCTGTCCATTTTGTTTATATCATGTTTGAATCTTCTTCTCCTCTTTGATTCTTTTCTTTTTTTCAACCACTCCTTAGAGGCGTCCAAGAGTGGTATCCCTCTTTGTCTTCAATGACCTTTGCATCTCTTCTTCCTTCTCTCTTTGGACTTTGTAAATCATCTCTTGCAATTGCAAGATTTAACCATCTACAAGCTTCAAGTCTATCAATTTCATGTTCAATCTTTCCCAGCAAAGCTTGGCAAGTTCACATCTTCCCTCCAATCCACAGTTGATTTCCCTTGTAACTGCAAGTCCCTCTACAAAGCTTTCTTCCAATCCTCCCTTTGCCCTCTTATCAATCTAATTCCTTTTGCCTTCTCAGCCTAGTTAGTTTCTCCACCTTCACAATTCTTATCCGTTGAGTCTTTAAAAATGAAATTAATTTGCACATTATTGCATTTTGGAGATGTAATTTTTCTTGTGAATGATATATTTGATTTTGAAATTACTAAAGAAATATTTGTGGGTGGATGAAACCAATACTTTCATATTTTTGCTTACCTTGAAGAAGATGCTAGATTTGAAGCTCTATTGTAAAGGAAATGATGAGTTCATCCTTTATTGTAGACATCATTTGTAAGGTCGTTGTTAATAATCCACAATTACCTCTAAAATCAAAATAATTATGACATTAACCTAAAGAATTAGTAAGTTTGTAAAATCATATAAATAGTATTCCAAGATTTTTAAACCTTTTATGCATTATATTATAACTTTCATAAACCAAAATAAGAGTGAAAATATGTTCATGGAAATATGGGATCCCAATTTGTATCAAGGCATTTATGTTTAAGTTGAAAAACAACAATCCATTGCAACAGAATAGAGGGGCACCACATCATTTCTTCCATGCACTGAGGAAAATCTTTCTTTGTATCATGTGCTGCAACGCATTGCTAGTTTTTGACAGCCCTATTATTGTCATTTGACAACAACTGGAGAAAACTTTCAATGCACCCAAAATCTCTACTTGACATCCAATTGAAATAATCTAGATATATACAAAAAGCTCTTTCAAAGCTTTAATGGCACCAGTTTCATTCACAAATCATTTTTCATTTAACAATTAAACACCCATTTGTAAACTCACTTCTTTTACCCTTTTAAACACAACTTGGGTGTCCAGAATCACTACCAAATGCCAAAAGTTCATAATTAGCATTTGATCACACTCAATTAACTAAACGGCACTTGTGCAATATACCACAGTAATATGATAACACTTATATAATGATTTCAACTCTCAATCCCTTGATCACAAAACATAAGAAGGAGCCAAGTTGCTATAAAATGTATTAATCATTCTTTACAATCTATGTTATCATTAATATCGTACTTGTATTATTTATTTTGATCTTGTCTATATTTCTCAATCAATCATACATGTAATCTAAAGCCCAAAATACAATACTTAATTCAATTCATCATACAGTGCAAGTATTCACAAAATATGAAGTTTCTAGTTAACAATATCATAAATAAATACACATAATGAAGCAAATTGTAGGAGGCCTCCAATTAAGAATCTATATTCCTAAGCCTTAATATTAACTTAAGCTAGCACCTATAAATATTGAAGAGAGAGGAGTAAGTATAACCACTTAGTAACCAAGGTTAATCTAACCTATATAAATATATGTTAATCAATTATAATAATGCAAGTGACATTTACACACATTTCACAAGTTTAAAATTTTCTTCTAGAGTGTTTGCTACAATCATAAAACTAACAATCATGTGGCTAAAATAACAATGATTGATACATATAAGGGAACACGATACTAACAAGCATGTGCCTCTGTCAAAATATGTAAGACCACAACAATAACAACCATGTGGTCATATAAATGAAGTGGATGATTAATGTCATCCTTATACCCTTTCGATACCTCCGACATGAAATTGTTAACTATTTAGTATGATTCATCCATTTGATTGGACTATCCATGCCTTTCAGTTATGAAGAAATACTTGACTAAAGCTACTACACTCACTTGTGAGTCATAGTTTTTCCCAATACTAACAATTATAGAGTGTCATACCTTTAAGTTAGCCTCCTCATGAATAGGTAAAGACTAGTTAGGTTTAAGTTCTTTAATAAACAAGTAAGACAACCCCTCAAAGAACAAAAGAGATAATAAAATATAAAGGAAAACCATCAAGATTTGAATGGCAACTAAACTACATGGATTTCAAATATCTACTCCTCTACCAATAGACAAACTCCCACCTCTAATAATCATGCAAATGAAATATGCTTAACACATAACATCCATATTTTCAAACATACCCCTTATATGAGGATTTCCAACATCATAGTCATGGCATGCAATCTTTTTCCCAATCATCATGATCAACACATCACATAATTCAAGAACTACCATATCACAATCAAAATCCATATTTCTCATTCATCATCACATCAATATCACATCATATTTTTCATGCATATTATCGTGTGTATGCTTGAACAAGTCATTCATCAACAATTTACAAACATGATCAAGTTATTAAT